GACCTCCACCCCCTCACCGCACCCCCATTAAACCCTTCCCTGCCTGGTCTGTTGCAGGTTCATCCTCACCCTCTTCCAGCAGAGCCCCGGCACCCGTCCGGTGACCTTCCAAGAGCTGGGGGGTGAGGAGATTACCCCAACTGAGCCCCCAGTCACCTCCCTGCTGGAGGGGCTGCTCCAGGTCTGGAGGAGCATGAGCCAAAATTCTGAGATTGACAGGTGAGTGGGGCCCACACAGTGCCCCTGCATCCCAACCTTGCCCCCCCAGCCCTGCTGGCACCCCTCACTCCAGACCTACAGGCTCAGTCTGACCTGCCCCCCCAAACCCTCAGTCTGGTAGACATGATGTCTGGGCAGCCCCCACTGAAGGCAGTAGCCCAGGTGGCAGAGGAAGTGTTTGCTGACAGCATCAACTGGGGAAGGGTTGTGGTTTTCTTCTATTTCACATACAGTCACCTTCCAGGTACATCAGGGGCGGGTGCTGGGGTGCCCAGATGCCTGGGTTCTCTCCCTACTCTGGGAGGGCAGTGGGATCTTGTGGATTGGGGAGGGGGCGGAGGTGGTCGTCTGGGGGCCCGGACTCCTGGGTTCTGTTTCTGCTTGGTTCCTCTCAGGCTCTGAGCAGCTCTGGCTGCCTCCGGGCCCTGGAGTTTCTGCGGGAGAGGATCGCTGGCTGGATCCAGCAGCAGGGGGGCTGGGTGAGTGCAGGGAACCACCTCCCACAACCCAAGACCCCCACCCCAGCTCCCACTGGCAGCACCTCTGGGGTGCCCTACATCCCCTCCCCTGAGAATCCCCCCTCCCTTCACAGTGGCACCCCAAACCCCTTGCTAGGGCAGACTTTTCCACCCCTGCTCCTCTGGGTGCTGGCTTGTGGGGGAGGGACTCTAGCTAATGCCCCCTCAGCCCTGCTCATGCCCCTCACTCTCGACCTGTAGCCCCCTGCCCCCCCCAGCCCTGCTGGTGCCCCTCATTCCTTCATGGTGTCCTCCCCAGACTCCTCTCTCCCCTTTCCTCTGGGTGCTGCTGGGGTGTGGGTGTAGGACCCACAAGCCTCCAGCTAACTACTGCCCCCACCTTTCTGTTGGCAGGACTCGGCCCTCACCTACCCCCTTGCCTCTGACTAGGGGTATGGGGGGAAGCAAGGAGACCCCCACCTGCTCCATGGCACTGAACCACGGACCCAGCTGCGCAGAGAGAAAGGGGGAGGGGTCAGAGTCTCATCAAACCTCCTCAAGAAACAAGCAGGAGAGAGAGCAAATAAAGGAGTGGTGGATAACTGCCTGGTGCTGTAGTGTTGTGGGAGGGAGGAAACCAGTGCCCACCCCAGCTCCTATAACCCCCTTACCTGCCCTGCCTAGTACAGCTCCTGCCAGCCCCCACCCTATCTCCCTGTACTAGGAGCCCCCTGTCCTGCTGGCTGCCAGCCGGCCCCACCCC